AATAAGGTATTTTTCCGGTGTGGTCAAGACAACAAAAAGACACCCTCCTCTTACCGTACTCCCTACTTCACGAGAGGCCTGGGGCAAGGTCCCACTTGCACGGATTACGAGATGTCGGCCGTTGATCTCGGCTATCTACGGTCTCTATCTCTTAGTTCGCGCAAGTGGGACCTAGCCCCTGGTCGATCGTCTAAGTAAAGTCCTTCGCGACATCCGTTAAATTTGTGGAGCGATACAGAGAATGAAGATTAGCATGGACTTTGCAAAATGTGCAAAATGGGATGGCACGCATAAATCGAGCTCTGCTCACCAAATGACATCGTGCAAAATGGGATGGGAAAGTGTCAAAGAATGTGGGCCTCGCTGCACTAATCTCCAAATGTGCAAAATGAGAATGAATCCTCTGCTATAACATGGAAAGATGCACCGCCATATGTTTTGTCTTTTGTGCATGTGGAGAGTAGTGCAGCGAGGCCCTGTGTCTTGTCTTGACCTAGAATTCGCTGCGTAGCTTCGATTGAATGGCAGCCAAGTACGAAACAGCCGCGAGTCCTCAAAAAAAAAAAAAAAAAAAAAAAAAAAAAAAAAACACTCGCGGGTGGTCCACAGGCGGTGGCGTCGCAGCCACGGAAAAAAACGTAGTGTACTACAGAGGGAGGTGCGGTTAAAAGCGATACTGTGAGTGAGCATGCCTTGTGTCAGCTACTGTAGGAGAACGGGCCTGTTCCGGACCTACGGCAGTCCCACCGGACCTGACCAGGCAATCCCGGGGCCCAAGTCCCACCAGCAGCGTTGAGTTTCCTCAACGCCTGAATCTGGACGTGATTGCGGAAGAATTGGCGTTGAGTATCCTCAACCGCACATCTCCCCAAACACGTCCAGATTCAGGCGTTGAGGAAATTCAACGTTGCTACAGTAGTGGGACTTACTGCTGACGTTTCCAGACCTCATTATAAAGGCAAAAGGAGGCCGGGAATCCCTCCACATCTCATCAACCCGGGGCTAGGTCCCACTTACACGAATTAAGAGATCTTGACCGTAGATAGCGAAGATCAAAGGCCAGAATCTCTTCATCCGTGCTAGTGGGACCTTGCCCCCGGACAGGAGAATCAAGCCTCAGCGAGGCTAAGGCTCCATTTCTATTTTTGGGGAGCAGCACAATGGGCCTCGCTGCACTACTCTCGGAATGTGCAAAACGAGAGTGAATCTTCGTTAGAAACATGGCGAGATACACTGCCATGATTTTTGTCTTTTGTGCATGATGCCCAATGTCATGCTGGGAACCTGGCCCAGTGGAAAATAGTATTCATTGGGGCCGGGGTCCCGACAGTCTACCAGGGAGGAACCGATCACCGATACCTTATGGTTTACGCATAGGCCACACGGCAGAGATTCCGGTTGGTTGGTTGTTCCCGGTACTATACATACATAGACAGCGAGAG